TAACAAATCGATCATCGACTTTTGTGCACAAGCCTCCCGGTACCAGGTGTAGTGATGCACTCTTCGATGTTCGAAGGTGTTCATAATGACAATCCGTTGCTTGCACAAAGGAGCAGCAACTTCGAGGACACCAGGTCCGTTCCACTTTCCAGTCTCTATTTACTTCGACATGCACACGGAAATTGCCCATTAAAATGAGGGACTTCGTAGTTGACACCTCGTATAGAGCACGTTCCACTTTTCACGTAAGGACTCGTGCTTTCCCTCCGATTTCGGTGCATACACCTGTAATAACGTCAATGTTTTTGCCTGTTGTGTAGTTTCCTTAAGAAGATCGCCAGTCTTTCGCTGACAGACTAACATTCAGCGATTCTAACAGCCAGGTTGGGCTCTACCAGATCAACAACACGGGCTTAAGCGCGCGTCGTGATGATGACAGCCGAGAAGAATAGCTTTCACAGGCAGAGGTTCAGGATTCCAGAGCCTCGGCGTTTCATTGACGAGAGTCCAACAATGTCGAGTTGGTACATAATGGCCTCATCAACTAACTCTTGCTCTTTTCCTCTGACTGAGGATATATTCCAATTTCTGACTGTAAGCTCCCATTGGCGGTGTCGTTCTCATGAGTGGGGCCTTATCTGACGTATTATGGTGGCACGGCGCTATTTGCCTCGTCCATTCAGTAAAGGTTGCGACCCCGTTGCTGACTGGTATCATCGCAGTCTTCTTGACTACCTTCGGTAAGGCGTAGCCGGAGTGCTATTCCATCCCCGCCCCCAGCTGCAAGAAGGCGGAAAGCAGGTTCTGATCGCAGACTTTAGCGGTCTGCTTGAATTGCCCAACAAGTTTCGCGCTGTCCTTAGTAACGCGGGCGATCACCGAATTGGTATGCTGCTGGATAACGAAAAATCTTTTAGTGTTAGTGCATTCAAATAGCACCTAGTACGGATTTAACGGCATTTCTCATTGTAGCACGTAAGCAAAATCTACGCATACGTACTAACAAGGTTGTTCAAAAGAAAAAGTACCGACAAACCTGAAGATCTGTTTCTTGCTACTGTCGCTGTAGGTATAATATTGTTTGGGCAAAGTTGTTTTACACTTTGGACTGCGCCTTAACATAACTTACAACGTAAGCAAGATTTATCATCATTTATGTCCTAAACCATGTATCGATAAAAATGGCTGAAAATGGAATAACTAAAATGGGCTTTAGCAGCGCGAAGCCAAAGAATTCCAAAGACTCCCTTCGACGACAATTACTGAAGGATACTGAGGAATTTAGATTAGTATTTCAGTAAACGGTCGAAAATAAAATCAACGAAAAATAATACTGAGTGTGACAGACAGCCGATGCATTTTACTCTAATTTTTAAGCAATTTTTAACAAAAGACTGCTGTCAAAACTACGGAGCACGTTTGCTGAAAGAGAAATTTATATTAATTAGTGTTTTCTGTACAAAGTAATTATTCGTTATCGGAGCCAAAATCCGTTCGAGTCGCAGAGGCAGCAAATTTAGGAGGACTCCGGTCATCTGATCCATCTAACATTCCAGCGGCTTGACCACAAATGTGTGCATTCATTATAACTAAGTCTTGGCCACCAGCAACGTGACTTCTTCAAAGCAACCGCTTTGCGAGTCTCTGCTCGCTAAAAATTCTGATCGTCTGCCTGAACATGACGGCTGTGTTCTCTTCATCTGGAGAAGGAACGGCTCAAAGCCAAGGATTACAGACTGCAGTATCGCAAATTCAATCAAGCCTGGAAGTCGTTCATGGAACCCTTCGGATCAATCTCATATCAAATGCACATATCTGAAATCGCACGTTTCGGCCAATATAATCACAGATGAAGGTATTTGCGTAGTTGGACTTGTACAATCTGAACAGGAGATGTCGAATGACAACTGCAAATGATGCTTGGTTATTTCTGACAATGAAAGGGAAGCTGTTTTTCATATGTTCTCTACCAGTCCTTCTACAAAGCCACGTTTGCTTTCCTGTGTATGGACCAAAAAGCCAAACACTAGTTACTAGATATGATTTTTGTTTCCTTCTATCCTTAGGTACCGAATCCCGTAATTAAATTTGATATCTACCATTCTGGGTGTAAAAAACTCCAACACAGCTTGATCATCAAATATTTGTAACACAGATCACTTAACACCTCCGCTTTACTAGATGCATCTATTACTTTCATTCTTGGACGTCTAAGACAAATTTTGGCATGCTGCGCCGTGTGTTTCAATTAATAGAACGTAGTGTCCGCCTTGGTTTTAAAGTGTCTTGTCAACGAACTCATCCTGTAATATTGCCTACTTTTGGGCACCGACAAGTTCCCCGTAAAATGATCAGTTCCCAAGCCACCTTCTAGTAATCCTTTGTATCCCCACTTCCAGGTATGAGT